ATATATATATATATATATATATATATATATATATATAACCGAGCTTACTAAGTAAGATCAAGACGCTCGACGTAGAGGCGCGAGAATGTACTTCTCTCATTGAGCCGTTGCCTTTGACTTAAATATGGACTTTGGGTTCAGGTTATAAGAAGGCGGACGCGGGACTCAGTTCAAAGCACAGCAATGGAGGTTCCTTGGACCGATACACTGCCGACCCGAATCAGAGAGGCGTGCAAGCCCGGGCGGATATTATCCGGCCGAGGCCGACACCCTGTAAGCTACTGATACCGCATCAACCCCGTAAAACGAGTCCGTCTGCATGTGTGTATTTTATGTTTTTACTCTTCTTATGTTTTGCTTTTATAGAACCGACCGTGTCTTGGGCGATGATCGAGCTCTCTCATTTCGCAAGTGGTCCAATTTTACTTTTATATCGTAAAAGCGCTCACAGCAGCGTCATCCTCGTCATCCCGCCCCTCAACTTGTTTGCTGAATGTTTCTCCCAGAGAAACCGAACCGGTTAATTTTAGCCGAGATCGTTCGACGATGCGCACATAATCCGGCTGTGTTAATGAAAAAGAAAAACGGTATTCGGCATAACGAATTTGTTTCTTTGACATTGGTGAAATTAGAGAGAGAGAGAGAGAAAGCAAGAAGATAAACTTCTCCAGAATATACCAGTCTCAATCTTTCTTCCTTTTTTACACAAAACGACTAGAAACTAAAATTGAATATGCGGAGCCCAACATTATATTGTTCTTCTTTTTTTCCGTTTTTTCCTCTCTCTGCAGTGTAATTCGACGAGTGTCTGTCTCTCGATCGATTAGCTCCGCGTGCGAGTCCTCCGAAGTGAAGTCAATTTTAACCGGTTCGGTGCTCGGTTTAACTTTGCTTCGAGAACAACTCGATAAGCCGATAAGACTACACGTGCCGTTTCTCTCCTGACAGCGCACTCACAAAGGTCCAACAAGATCGTGGTGGCTCTATACAATTACACAGCGCGGGAAAGCACCGACGTTAGTTTCGTGAAGGGCGACCGAATGGAAGTCTTGGACGACTCCGAGCCAGATTGGTGGAGAGTGCTGCATTTAACGACCCTGCAGGAAGGTCTGATCCCATGGAATTTCGTGGCTGTGGAACGTTCGATCGAGAGCGAAGAGTGAGCATCGCTTCCGTCTAGTATCGTGTCCGTTCGACGAATCATCATACCGATTATCGATTTTTCTATCTCTTCTCGCAGTTGGTTCTTCGAGAATGTGTCGCGCAAGGAGGCAGGCACGCTGCTCCTGGTCGACGAGAATTCTCGTGGTACCTTCTTGGTGAGACCGAGCGAACACAATCCCAGGGGCTACAGTCTGTCGGTGAAGGACTGGGAGGAGGGCAGGGGCCATCATGTGAAACACTATAAGATTAAGCCGCTCGACAATGGCGGCTTCTTCATCGCCACCAATCAAACGTTTCCCAGCTTGCCGGCTCTCGTTATGGCGTACAGCAGTAAGTGTTTTGATGTCTTTCAACATTCGCGCCTACATTTTGTTCCATTCTATTATTTGTTTCGCTACATTGCTTCTCTTCTCCTGGAAATAAGTAATTCCGACGAGAAAATTACTCACCATCTGCGTGTTTCTTCACGTGTGTCGAAATAATGTCCTTTACACCAAAGAGTACGCTTCTCTAGCGAAACAACCAACGACTATGTGATTTAGAAAACGCGCTGGGCCTCTGCCACGTGCTGTCGAAGCCTTGCCCGAAGCCGCAGCCAGACATGTGGGATCTCGGGCCGGAGTTACGCGACAAGTGGGAGATCAATAGGAACGAGATCCAGCTGATTCGGAAACTGGGTCATGGCAATTTCGGTGAGGTGTATTACGGCAAGTGGCGAAATAAGACCGAGGTGGCGGTGAAGACACTGCGTCCCGGGACCATGTCGACCGAGGCGTTCCTACAGGAAGCGGCGATCATGAAGCAGTTCCGACACAGGCACCTGGTCGCGCTTTATGCGGTCTGCTCGAAGGAGGAGCCTATCTACATCGTTCAGGAGTACATGTGCAACGGTAGCCTGCTGGATTTCCTGCGCACAGGAGACGGCAAGTACATGCAGTTCGAGGATCTGATCTACATCGCTGCCCAAGTGGCGTCCGGTATGGAGCATCTCGAGAGCAAGCAGCTCATACACAGGGACCTGGCGGCGAGAAACGTGCTGATCGGTGAGAAGAATAAAGCAAAGATCTGCGACTTCGGCCTCGCCAGGGTGATCGAGGACGACGAGTACTGTCCGAAGCAGGGCAGCAGGTTCCCCGTCAAGTGGACCGCGCCGGAGGCGATCGTCTACGGCAGGTTCAGCATCAAGAGCGACGTCTGGTCGTACGGGATCCTGCTGATGGAGCTCTTCACTTACGGACAAGTTCCTTATCCGGGTGAGTGCTTCGTTCGCTTTCTTTCTCGCAAGCAGTACTCGCGCGTTCGTTATTTACGCGTTACAAATTGTCGACATTCTGTGGATGTATTGTCGATTTCTCTTCCGTCAGGCATGCACGGTCGCGAAGTGATCGAGCAAGTGGACAAGGGCTACCGCATGCCGAAACCATTGAATCATCCGCTGCCCGACAGCATCTACCGACTGATGCTACAGTGCTGGGACGCCAGCCCCGAGAAGCGACCCACGTTCGAGTTCCTCAATCACTATTTTGAGTCGTTCAACGTCACTAGCGAAATACCGTATCTTGAACCGCCGACGGACTGATATACAGCCCATATGCAAAGCCACCTGCCACCACACCGTCACTTTCACCCAGCCCACATCAACTGTGCCATGGAATTTTATGGTATTTACTGCTAAGTAAATTATTAGCGCGCGCGCGCATCTCGCCGCCCTCATCGGAAACTTCGCGGACTGGGAATGTACCGCTTTCGCGCGGGGAAAAAGAGTTCGAAAGATAGAGGGAGAGAAAGAGAGAGACTCGTGTACTTCGACGACGCTTCGCCTCGGCGTTTTTTCCACCGCGAAATTTTTCTACGACCAATCTTTGCGAAAGAGACAAAACGAAATGAAGAAGAAGTACACAGTACCGCGAACTCTCTTTCCCGTCTCTTTGCCCTTGTATGTTCTCGGTGTTTTACCGAGGTGTTTAGCACCGAAACATCAAATAGATTACGGAAGTCGGGTGTGCCATGGTGTTTTGTTTTTTTCTCGTGAAACGCAACGTAAACCGCGCTCGCGAGAACGTTGACAGAATTTTAATCTTCATGACCAATCACGCGTTAATCGTTAATAAACGTAGCAATCGAGCGAGGAAACCATCCGCGATCGAGGATCGTGGTTATTATTCAGCGGCGAATCGCGTTTTAGCCGCCCTTACTGCCCTCCCCCTACCCCCGTCCTCCTCCTGAAAGCCGCGACCGATTAAGCGTGTTTTCATACTTACGACGATAAACAACAACCAATAAAGACACTAGCGATGTTGATAAGCTTAGGAGCAAACAAGTCATGGTATTAGAGAATAAACGGGAATAAGTTTGGAGATGAGAAAAAATTCGAAATTATATAGATTATACAACATAATCGTATATTAGTATGTTAGCGTATGATTACGAGATACACGTAGTGTGAGCGAGCGAAAGAGAGAGAGAGAGAGAAAGAGAGATAAATTGTGTGAGTGTGTGCGCGAGAGAGTAAGTACTTGTAAACGCGTGTGTTTCCACGAGAGTATGTTGCATTTTTGCGTCTCTCAATTGATCTCGGATCGGTCACATCCGAATTTTCCTAAAGTCCAAGTTTTGGATGTAGTCCTCGGAGCGAAGAGAGGAAGAGAAACGCGATGGCAAAACGGTTACCGCGTGCGTACCGTTCGCAGATGCTTTTGACATGCGTAAATTACGAAGTGGGAGGGCTGGGCGTGCGATCCGCGACGGAGGATCAGTGTCGATCGATCTTTTTGCATGACAGGTCCGCCGAGAAACCAGCTACGCGAATCAAAAGGGCATCGTGTCGACCCGAACGAACGCGGTGACATCGCCGCGCGTAGCTGCGAGCGCGTCGACAAGGAAACTTATTTTCAAATACGATATTATCGTCGTTCGACGATACTTTATTCTCCTCCTCAATTGCGTATCGTATGTATACGAGTTGTTGTATCTTTCTCCTCTTTTACGTGCGCTTCGCCTGTTATTGCCACGCAATAATAATTCCGTTTCGGTTGCAAAACGCGCGCGAACGGGCACAAGATGTGATCGCGAGACTCCAGGAGGAGGTCTCTCCGCTGCTCGGCCGGGAGTCTCGTCTCGTCGCGTAAGTCGACTGTCGGGAGTGATTAATTGCGCGCATCTACTCGAGAGTTTCGCTCTCCGAGAACGCTTCTCATCGATCGAATGGGACTCTCGAGCGCGAGCCGCGTCCGCCAGCGACAGATCCGTTCTCAGCCTGCGCGGCGCGCGGTGACTGTTAGCTTCCGACCGATCATTTTGTTCTCCGCGAATGCATTTAGTGTCGTCAGCATTTCTAAGCGTATAAGTTGCTCCATCGCACGCGCGCGATTCAACAGCGCCTTCGAGCCTGACTCGAGCAAGCAAGCAAGCATCTTGCAGAAGCGCAGTGAATACCTCGCACAAATTTGCGCCGCTTTTATTTCGCAGGTCGTTGTGCAGCGTCGTTGCGAGTCACGGCGCTCTTTTTTTTTCAAAACGAGCCGTCGGTCTTGTTGAGGAAAGCAGAAAGACAAGAAGGGTATAAAGATTTAGAGTAGATGAAAGAGAAAAAGAGAGAGAGAGTTACTAGTATTCGGATAAGTGCGAGTGCGTGAGTGCGTCTGTGGAAAAGAAAGAAAAAAAAAAAACACAAGAGAATGTCCCCGAGCCCGGTGTCGCGATGTTAGACCGATGCGACATGGTTTCACGTACGTACACGAGAGAAGGGGTGAAAAATCGGGAATGCAATTTCGGATAAACTTAAGTCATCGATGTTACTCGTACAAAGTGTCTGAAGAATTGTAAATTTTCTACTTAAAAAAAGGAAGAAGGAGAATACAAACGACAGATTAGAATAGGAATCCTTAGATGATAGGTGTCGAGTAATCTTACCGGGATGATCGGCGACTCCGTGTGCTGTCTTGGCTGATCGAGGAGCGTCGCCTCTCGCGATCCTTCAGGCGTCCGATTCCCCAAGACTCGACCTTGTCGCCGTCGTCGCTGCGAGACGTGTCAAGCGCGTGAGACCCGAGATTGAGTCGGTCGTACCGACGTCGGTTAGCGCCGGCTCCGGTTGTCGCTGTCTTTACAAGTAAAGCGTGAGGAATGGGCCGAGACAGATTGTTAATTAGCGCCGCGAGTACCAGAGAGAAGAAACGATTAATATTGTAAAAACATCGAAAGTACTGATCATGCCAAAAGAACCGCTGTATCGGGCACTTGAACGGGCGGATGAAATGTCGCGCTGAATGTCTTCGCTCCTCCGTAATAAGGGAGAGCGACTCGTTCACCGGAATTGCTCAACTCAAACTGTTGGCGCAATCATCTAGGTCGACTCGGCTCGAATGCTGCAACGCAATCGTGCACGCGGTTGACGGTGATTAATCTTTTTCCTCTATTCGCGTGGCGAGCAAAATCACAATCTGAGAGGAAGTGTTAGATGATCAGCTGAAGCGGAGGGGTCGAAGTTACCGAGATGCAATGTTAGAATGTAATTCCAAAATCCCGCCGCCTCGAAAGTGCCCTCGACACAGCGGTCGAGCGATTTTTCCTTTTCTGTCCGTGCATCGTTGAGAGCGATTCGAAGCAACGAACGGGGTCAAAGGACCGCTGACCGGAGCCCGGCGCGCCAGGAGCGTCGGTGCGATCGATTCCCAATGTATACATTTTATTGTGTCACGATAAACATGATGATGAGCCATTACGATACGATAGATATTAGCGATTTAAAGAGTGGAAGCAGTGGACGAGTGCGTTGCGTGCGCGTATGCGAGCGTAGAAAATTGTTACATCCGTGTCAGCGCGATCGTCTCTTCACGCGCGCGCGTCTCGCCGAGCGCGGAAGTGTCGCGGTGCGAAAACAACACGTCGCCGTCGCGACGCTCGAAAATTCGCCGATCCGACACGACACGAGAATCTTGTAGAAGCATCTTGTCAGACGTCTCAATTCCGGGAGTGTTTTCTCGGACGTCTCGCGTCCGCGGTGGTCGCACAAGTCCGTCTAGATCTGTGCGGCCGATTCGATAAGAGAGAGAATCCTTGATAACTTATATTTTGTGAAGTTTTACGAGGCTCATAAACGCGGCTCTGAGCATCTCTTCGACAAAGAAAGGAAGCCACACGAAACAAAGGCGCGGCACGGCAAGACGGCCCGCGCGAAGAGGCGTTCGCGTTTACGTAGCGTTTAGAGAATAGGTATATTACGTCCAGTACATTTTTTCTATGAACGTTTTGTACCAATGAACTTGTTTTGACGATCATGATCGCTGCCGTAGGTCGTAGTTTAGAAATACGTAGAGTTCGAACCGATGTAATATTGACAAGAACGTTAGCTGGCCAACAGAAACGTCCCGAGAGACGTCGACGAGGAACTCACGGGAGTTCTCCTTTACGGGACTGCGATTTCCTTCGAACGTCTCGACGACTCCTCAAGAGGGAAGTCTGAGAGAAGACGGAGAGGTCCTTTGGGAAGCCTCAAAACATCTGAAGGATGTTTGAGACTTGAGGCATTTAAAGTTTGTCCAAAAGGAAATGAGAATCTCTCTTGGGTGCTTTTCAGTCGTTTTCGCGGCGTCCAAGAGATACGCCGAAAAAGTTGAGACGCTTTCAAGCGTCTCCTTATCAGGGGAGTCCCCAAAGTTCTCGCGATGTCTCTTGGACTTTTGTGTTGTTCAAGGTGGAAGAGCGACGAGTTCGAGCTATCCGAAAAGCGTTCGCGTTATGTGGTATCTTCGCGTAGATTGTTTCATTCGGATCACATTTGGACCATGTATTTACAAATTATCGCGGTAAAGGCGTCACGGCCTTTTTCCACTGAATCTAGAGACTGATATCGTTTAAATAAAGCCCACGCGCGTTGTGCTTTCGAACGTATTTCACTCGGGAACCGTGCGTCCGATTGCTCGCGAGTTCGCACAAAACCATCTTCTCATTACTTTGATCTCTGACTGACAGACTGTCGTTGCACGTGTCGTTACACGCGACAGAAAAGAAAAGCGCGCGTCAATCACCCCGAGCGTCGTGGAATTCTTTACTCCCGGACGGTTGGTTTTCACGTGGACACACCTGCGCGTAATCGCCAAACGGAACGGTCAGAGTATCTCGCGATCATCGCGAGATCTTGAAGCTCGTGGAAAGCCCGGAAAAACCGAGCAAACGATTAAAACGGCCGTCTCTCGGACGTATCGTTCCCGCTGTCTTTTATTTGCAAATGACGACGTTTGAATTCACGGCGACCTAAGGGCGAGATCAGCGGTTTCACACGCACTGCTAAAACGTACTTAAAAAAAAAAAAAAGAAAACGAAAGAGAACCTGTATCGCGCTCCTCACACATCGACCGATCGGCGGTGGCTTTCGCCGACGACCACACTTGGATCCTCTCAGGCCCAGTTCCACAACTTGCTTTAGCTTGGGTTTAACTTTGTTAAAAACCTATCCAGGCAAATTTGCTTAGTTGCATTATTCACACACACACACACAAGACAATTAACTAATCCAATGTAAAACGTGTCTAATATAAGAGGCGTCCTTTTACTGTATGGATCACGATTGATTGACTTCCTTGTACAGGTGAATAATGACACAATGCAAGTTTGTCTGGATAGGCCTTCAACGAGTTAAATTCCGATTGAAGCAAGTTGCGGAACCTCAATCCGTCACCGTCATCGTCGTGGTTTGCGGCGCTCCCGTCGTGCGGCCGTCGCGGCGTTCGTTCAAATGAAATTCTCGGTAAATCTGTGATATAGGGACAGACCTCATGCGTTTTTTTGATACAACACACAGCGAGCGATGCTCGCTGGCGGTCGTTCGCTCACGCGCGGCCGCGCCGTCACCGCGGGAGTACGCGCAACGTCACCGAGACGATATGACGAAGAGTCGATCGGGCAAACGCGCGATCAGAGTTCTATCAACAAAATCGTTTCGCGAGAACGGATTCATCCGACGTGATGCGCACACCAAATAGCCGCGACTATTTTCTCGTACGCGTCCCCTGCCCGCTCCCAACCAGAATCCTCCCTCTCGTCTACTCCCAGTCAGCCCCCACCTTCGGCTCTTTCGTTCGAGGTTTTCTTCAGCCGTACGCGTACATACATATGTACATGCGGATACACACACATATATACACAGAGAAAAATCCGCGCGCGTCGATGCGCGTTCTCATTCGTACCTAAAGCGAAAAACGATCGATACGCTGTTGTCATTGTTTATATACCAAAGCTTATTATCATTAAGTAACTTAACACGATTACTTTGTATGATTATTATTATTATTATATTAATTGTCGTAAGCCTATGCAGATCAATATATTATGTATCATATTAACGTGTCGCAGACTTCACCTCTGACCTTGCCGAAAGTGCCGACTTTCTTTCTCTCTGAATTTTGGGTCGTCGACTTCGAGGCGTGAAACGGGACATATGTTTCGCAGACACGCTGAACGCGTGTGTATGTGTGTAAAAGTACCTAACGGTCGTGTGAGCGCTCAGAGATACTCGTACAAGGTACTCAGATCCAAGCTTCAGTTCATTCACCGATTTATTCTGAAACCGATTACTGCTCTCATAATACAAAAGTTTCCTCAAATACAGACATTCCATTATCCGATTTCCATAGGCTACAAGACAATAAAATCGTGCAAGATATAAAAAAAGAAAAAATAAGGAAAAGATGAAGAACAGAAAATTGCAGGAGAAAGTATATCGACGCTTAATTATGTTCTTCAAAATGTGCGTTTGTGACGCACGTCAATCTCGAATGCCGCAACAATCGACGGAAGTGCAAACCGCCTTCTTTCTTCTGTTCTTCAGTTACCACGTGTGTTGAGAAAAATAATTTAGCGAATTAAATTAAGCACGTAATGAGCGAGCAAACGAACGAAAGAACGAACACAGGCAGACACGCACACACGCAACATACATGTAGGCGGCGTGACTGCCTGTGTACGGTATTGTTATTGTAGAGTCTCGAATATATACACACAATCCGCGGCAACTGCGTTATGAAAGATGGTATTCGCGATTCGAGAGAGTTATATATATATGTATGTATATATACTTTACAATTAAGTGTACATCATCTCCGCCATGTGCGACATCTTCTTTGGAATATGGACGAACTCCTCGAAGTAGCTGGCGAGCTCCCCAATCGTAATGTCGCACGAGGGTGGCGATATTCGCGCCTGCACCGAACAGGTGTTCGTGCTTGAAGGTTGGCCGCCAGATGATGGACCGGCTGCGTCCGTTTGTCCGCCACTCGAGGAGGAAGCTAGACCTCCACCTGGTCCGGGACCCCTCTTCAAACTTGGCATCGTGTTGCTGCGGGTGCGTTGATATCCAGCGGCCTCGTAGTCATCGTCCTGAATACTGGTGTCGTCCTTGCTCTGTCTACAATCCCGGCGCATCTCCAGCTCCTTGAGGTCCCTCGCGATCGACTCGGACTCGATTCTCTTGGAACTCTTATTGGAAATATTGAACTTACACGAGTTCTTGAGCGTATCCACTAAGTTATCACTAAGACAGCCGGTGCCAGGGGCGTTCAACTTTAGCATAGCCTCGCGCAGGACGGCGCCCCGTTTGCTCTTCTCCACCGCTACTCTCTCGCTCTTAGACGGCTTGAAGTTCGTTGTACTCTTGATGCCGCGCGGATTCGCCGCGAACACAGTAGGCCTGTTGGGCATGGACCTTCTGCGGAACAGCCACCTATGGTCGCTGGCACTCGCGTAAGATCTGTTGAGCGTTCGGAACGGGTTCGTCGTCTTCGGCTTGTCTGTCGTCGCGATGCTGAAAGAGTGTGACATTGTCAGGTAAGATACAAAGTTGCAAAAGTATCAATTCAAATTTGCTCAATTTAACAAGCGATTTGTAAATAGATATATGTTTCGATTTAACCAATTGACAATTGATTCGAGCGAAATTAATTGGAGAACGTTTCACTGACGATTCATTTCAGCGAATTCAATTAGAGACCGTGCAATTAATGATTGATATAAATGAAGGGGAGCCGAAATTCACAGTTCAATTAACAATTGGACTTAGCAAATTTAATCGAAGGCCGTTTAACTGGCGATCGAACTTGTTGAATTTAATAAAAATCCGTTTAAGACTTCTAAACATGAAAAACTTACTAAACCCTAGACATGGGTAAATTTTACACAGCGCATTTTCATTTGCTTCCGGAATATGCTTCTATATAACTCCCGAAATTTGCTTTCATATAACTTTCGGAAAAATTATGGAAATTCCATCTTTTTTTAATCAGTGTAGAAAACATCAAGGAATATGAATTTATTGATGTTTTTTGCGATTCAATGAAGTTAAAAAAAATTATAATGAAAAACACATGTTTTTAAGAATATTCAAAAAATTGGTCTATGCAAATTTTATCCATATTTAGGGTCCTAGAGTTAATTAACGACTGGTTGTTAAGCAAATCCAATCGATTCAATCAAAGAGCATTCAATTACTCAAGATTACAATTCATTTTATGGATAATATTCATACCTGGAACATCATGGCATTGTGGAAGATACTGGTAACTGAAAAACGCTACGTAGAATCTGCGTTGAGAGGGGAATCTTCGATTGAGTCGATTGAATTTGTTCATATAAATCACCAAATAGAAAACCTTTTATTAAATATGTCAGATAGAAAACCTTTTATTAAATATGTCAGATTCAATCATGAATTAAACGGTCTTTAATTACATTTGCTAAGTTCAATTGCCAATTAAACAATCTTTAATTCCCGTCATTCATATAAATTATCAATAGAACGATCTTTAATTGAATTCGTTGAAATTAATCATCAAACGATATTATATTTATTTGTGGGAATTGTCAATTAGACAGTCTCTGGTTGAATTGGCTCATATTAATTATGAATCAAGCATGTTTTAATTAATTGAAAAAGTAATTAATTACTCGCGATCTTTACTGCTCTAAAATCTATTACTGCTCTAAAATTGCTCGTGATCTCTAATCATATGAATAGAAATGTATCTTGGATCATTGATCTTTTACTGATTTTTTACGTTAACATCTTTGAGCTTTTTGTAAAATTCTCTAATGGAGAATTCAACTGGACACACCAGTGCACAATAAAACTGGTATAATAGACTGTTCTTATACTCAAGATCACCTTAGATTCATCTTCATATGCTCTGCAACTAGGAGCATCTGAAGAATCAATCTGAAACAAACTATATATCGCTCAGCAGGCACTGGTGCCCACTCAATCAAATTTATCACAATAATACTCTACAAATGTAGTCGCTATTTTGTGAAAGAAAATACTTCATATTTTGTAAACTTTATACAATGGTACTCCATCTGGGCAGATCTTACAACTGGAGATATTGTTATTGCTATTCCATCAGTGCTGTCTACTAAATCCTCCCTGTAGCTTCTAAATCGTCGATTAAAGTCGCAGGTATCCTCATGTGTGATCACGTTTAAAGTGACATACCACTCGTGCTCATTTGTGCATACGTTGTATTCCGTAAACAGAGAATCAAAACTGTCGTGATTTCGTCGAGATCAATGTTGGGCGGCGTATACAAAACCAATCCACCTTCTATCAGTCGTCACGTCTTGCTGGTGATGACGAGAAACGCGAGTGTTAACAGCTCGATTCTCACTCGACACTCGACTGACACGGCAACACGATCTCGACGAAAGCACGCAATTTCGAGGTCTCCGCTCCGAGAGAACGACAGCGGGAACTGCTTACTGCGGACAACTCGTCGACAGACGATCAATGTGGAGCCTCTGCAGACTCGCCGGCAGCGCGTCGTCGTCGGTCATGTTGGACGTCTCGCAATCACCCGGATTCATCGTGAACACGACATCTTGCTGGACATTGGTCGTGCATTGGCAGCGCATTCAGGAACGAACGCGACGCACACGACGGCGCGGCCCGTCGGGCGCCCCGATGCGATTAGGTTAGAACGCAGTAGACGACGACGATGACGGTGAAGGTGATGGCGACGGACGATGATGCGACGCGATGGCGCGCGTTCGCGCTAACCGACTGCTCGCGCGCTCTTCGCTCGTCTTTCGCGCTTCCTTGTTCTCTCTGTCTGACACGACACGCGTGTGCGCGCGCGCGAGCGAATGTGTCGATGCCGATTTACGCGCCGATACGCGATTAATTAATCGTAACACTGGATGGCGAACGTAAATAAACACTGCTAGTGCGCGCGATCGGGTCTCGTGATGATGTTGCTGTTGCTGCTGCTGCTACTACTGTGCAATTTCGCAAAATGCCGGAAGAAGGCGTCGCAGATGTCGCGCTTGTCGCGCCCGCCTATTGGTCGACACTCGTCCCGAAACTTTCCGCTCTCTATCGCGCAACGGACTTCCGGACAGGAGAGAGCATAGTTCTCTTCATTATTATCTATAAAAAAATGGTTTTGGAAAAAATGCAAATTTATGAGATAATGGCTGCGTTCAGCAGAGAAAGCTGCTTTGCAACTGTTGTAAAACAGCTTTCTCTGCTGAACGCAGCCAATAATTTTTCCTTCACCTCGACGGTGACGTCAGACTCTTTCTTGTGTTTGTCAGCTCTTTCAAGAGCACTATGGATGGTATTCATAGACTGCGTTCCGATATTCACTATAAATACTGAAAATTTATAGTTTATGTTACTATAGATATACTATAGATTTATATTATAGATTTTCAGTACTGACAATAAATATCAGAATGCAACTATAGTCGGATTTTATATTTAAAATTATCTTATGTTTATTTTTAAATATTTTTCTATAAAACGATCTGTACAGCATCTGAATCCCGACTAATCCGACTACGAATACCGTCCTATCCATTTTTCATGAAAGAGTAAGAGGAGTCGCCGTTGAGTAGTGTCACTTGATAAAGCAAGAGGCGTCCGACCCATTGTTCAGTCATATCACTACTCAACGTTGTTCAGGAAAGTGGTGTCTCGTAGCGGAGACTTTGGAACTAATCTGCAACACACACAGAAATAACGAGTCCGATAGTCTCTTATGCAGGATTCACACCGCGTCTGATGTCCGACGTACGACGCCCGATATCCAATAGAAGAAGCTTTCTAATACAGCTTTCTAATATAAAATTCAATTCTCCATTGGAAAGCTATTCTTTTATTGGATATCGGACGTCGTACGTCGGACATCGGACGCGGTGTGAATCCTGCATTGACCCCTTATTCGCTTCGGATGGCGTTGCATTTTCTCTATAAGTTGGCAACATTTAGAAAACGGTTTGCGACGCGGCAGGATAACGTATTCCACGATATCGTCCTGTTCCTGCGATTTCGGCTCGTCAAATGCGAATTACACATCCGCATCATCGCCGAAAGTAAGTTTATCTTAAATGTGACTTATTTCTAGGAGATTTCCCACTCGATATGTCTTAAGGGATATATCTTTTGTAGCATGTCTTGTACTACCGTAAATGAAACTTACTCGATGTCCTCTCGCGATGAGACTTATGTGCATTATTTGAAAATTGTGTCGACAATGAAAAGATTTCGAAATGTCCTCTCATATAAAATATAATCGAGAATTGTTAAACACTAAAGTTATTCGCGTAGATTTCCGCACGCTGCAAAAAAATACGGACTTGCAACGGGCGCAATTAATCTGTATTTGTCGTTGCAGATTATTGCAAGCAGTCTTTAAGGTGTCAAGAGTGCGACGAGCAATTAGTACCAATCGATATTATTCAATTCATATTATTCTCTTATTTTCTATTATCTTTATATTGTTGGATTTTAACTTAAGAGCCTTATAATCATTTCTTTGAATTTACTAAGAAACTTAATATTAAGATTGATATATTTGCTCTTAATTGGAGACAAGTTAATGTTACTGAAGCGACGTGTTCTTACACATACACATACACACACACACACAAATTATGATCCCGACAGCGACGGTTCGCGTATAAAATTCAATGATTCAGTGGGCGTGCTGACGCACCCGGCTTTATTTTAGCGTGCGGTTGAAACATTTACGCATTCCCGTTGCTGGAAAACACAGAGTGGCGCGGAAACCCGACTAGCTTTCATGGCCATATCCATCTCGCGTTAAAAATGCGCCTTCCCATCCGAATCGCTCTGAAATACCTTGGTCGCTCATTGATGCATAATATTAGCAAGATATATTATTTCAAAATTAGTCTCAATGTGGGAGGAGAAGTGCAGAGGAATGAGCTTTTATTTTATTACTAACCATGTGAATTATTCTGTTTCAGGAACGTTCTACCTGGCGGCCTTGCGAGCCCACATCGTCCTGGTGAATATAGACGTCGAATTCGAACGTTGGTTCGAAGATCTATAAAACTTGGACGTACGTGACACTTCATGTAGCAATCGAGATACATGAATATAGTCGTCAGAGTAGAGCATCTTTATCCGCCGTATTGGTAAGGTAGGATCTGATATTTACTTGCCCGATTCCACCGTTCTTCTTGAATTAAAGAAGACTCCTCAGGTCCATATTGATAGTTGTTATTTGAAACTTTCTATGAAGTGCAAATTACTAAAATCCATATAAAAATATATAAAAAATATATAAAAAAAATATACGTTTTCTGTGGATGTCTTCAAGCATCTTTTAGTAAACTGTGCTGCCTAGGTTGTCTCGAATGAGATACTCAGATTTAAATATAGAATTAGATGAGTTTTTCAGCTAAGTGTTCTGCTTTAAAACTTTAAAAAAATGTCACATTTTGAAATATGGTGTGCCAAGTCTTG